TGCAGATGATTTTATAAGATGGGCAAATGACAAACTACAAGAACTTGAAGATTGTGAACTTGAAGTACAGGCCCACTTGCCTCATAAAAGGTTAAGAAAGAAGAAAAGCATGGCTGGTGAATGTTCTCAAGATGAAGTAATATCTGATGCCATCATGGCATATAAGATACAAGTACACAATGTGATCCTTGATGTAATCACGGAGAGCATTACTCGACGTTTTCTTGCTAGTGAAACACTGTATGCCGACTATGCATGCCTAGACCCTAGGAACTTTTCAAACATAAGAGAACAAGGGCTTCATATATCTGCAATGGAAGATTTAAGTAAAGTCTTGATCAAATTTAATGAGAATGCCACAGCTGAAAATTTGCGGTGTGAATTAACTAGTCTAGCTTTGCATTGGGACAAATTGAAGACATCAGCGCTAGAAGAATACACTGTAAGGGTGTCAAGAGAAACGCCCATGGAAGATCTAAGTCAACAATTTGATGAAATGGAGCTGTTAAATAAGCCATGTGCAACATGTAAGAACTGTGCCATTTGTTGCTATCAAATTCTACGGCGCTACAATTTATTAACAGATGCCTATAATGTGATAGGTCTAGCCTACAAATTCCTACTGACTCTATCATTTACTCAAGTTGCTTGTGAGAGAAGCTTCTCCACCTTGAGGTTCATCAAGAATCGACTGAGGAATACTGTATCCCAGGACCATTTGGATTCATTCATGTTAATGGCTACAGAAAAAGAAATCCTCATGAGTCTTGATGTGGATGCCATCATCAACAGAGTTGCAGAGAGTAGTGAAGCCCTGCAAAGTCTTCTTATTCCTTGATAACGTATCATTCCTAAGTCTTTCCAGTATTAGTAGGGTTCAAATTTAAAATGTTCAAATCATAAACGAGGTGGAAAGTTCTTGAGCCGAGCCTTTTGTTCCTGGTGGAAGTGTTGATGTAGGAGGATCTGCTACTTATGGCTTGTTCACATTGAACGTTTTGTTGCAGTTATGTTTAATGATCTAATGTTTCAATACATTAAAATAGCTATAAGATCTCACATTGTACTGTTGGTGTTTTTTGTTTAGAGAGCACTAGCATTGACAAATTTAAACATTAAATTTTAATTACACTTTTTGTTAAACGTGATGATTTTATAGGTTTAGATTTCCTGATGCTCCTTGTTATTTATACAACCAGGGCAATGATTGGGATAGGGAGAACTCGTAAGCATGTACCAATACCACTATACCAGCAATGCCCTTTCAGCGCGCCACAATATTGTGAATGGAGCCCACAACAGGTGGGCCTGTGTCCCCACAGCCGGTGGGCCTGTGTGCTCTAAATGCCAGGGCCGATTTTTGGTCCCAGTCCGGCCCTGAATGTGATGAAAGATAAGATCTAAGGAATTGGTGCTAACAGCAAATGTCAACTCTGCCATGAAAAAGATGAAACTGTGTCACACCTAGACATGGGGATGAATTTTAAAAAATGAATCGTGATATTTGTTAACAATGACTGATTTGTTTAATATTCATCCCTTCATATTCATCATTTCCAGAGATCCCAACAAATACAAAGGGACCGATATTGCTCCATTTTTATTCATCCCCCATAGGAAGAGAGGGAAGGCTAGCCTATGGCCTTCCCACTCTGCCTATGGCCCTGCCAAAGAGCTGATTGATAGGCCTATAGGCAGCCAGACAGATACTTAGGGTCTTGGTTAAAACTTGTATCTGTTACATAATACCACTCAATGTTTTTATAATTTTGATTGACTGTGTCTGGTATTTTTGAATAATAACAATAATTGCAGATTTCAGAAATAATATCATCAGAGCTACAAAAATGGAATAATAATAATAAATTGAAAGCTAGGTTCTGCTCTCCCATGGAGAGAAGGTGATAAGGAGGAGCTTTTTGACATCTTTTCTTTTCCTTTAAAGGGAAAAATAGGATTGTTTGAGGCACAGTGTCGTTTCAGCGCCCCAAATCGCCCAACTGCCCCTGATTAGAGTTACCCAGTCCTATCCATCCTGGGACAATCTGATCATCCAGTTCCACCCAAAGTCAAATATAGGTTCATCAGGCCAATGCATATTAGGTAACCTCTGCACTTACCACATCTGTTATCCACATGCCTTTGACCCAGGCCACAGGGCTCCTGAGTATCAAGTATCCTGGAAGATTTTCTGGTCACCTCATGATCCACACCAGAAAGGCGAATATGAAATTGCTCTTTGTTGATCACCTTCCTCAAGGTTCTAATTGCTTTACGTAGCCTCTTCTCGGTTCTTTTACGTGCACAGCTCAAACTGCATGTGTCTGGAAGGGCACAGGCAATGGTGATCAGGAGTAGAAACCATTTAGGGGTGAGGCCACTGAGTTCAAAGGAGCTGCTGGTGCAACAACCTTGAATACAGGATGTGTGAACGATGACAATAAATATTATTCTGACTTTGCTTGAAGAGACTTAACGTATATATTAAATGCAGAACACCAAACATTTAGCCACAGCAGCTTTCTGAGTTTCAGATAAAGGGATATTAAAGCTTCAAAACAGGAGATACTTTTCTTTTTTGCATGAAGATGAAAGTGAAAGATAGAAAAGTGAAGAATCAAACTGCAAAAAGGCTCTCTCAGAAACAAAACTTTTTAGTTGCATTGGGGATTCTTTTCCAACCAACCTGTCACCTCCTTTTGGTTTGTTTCAAGCTCAAAGTCCATAGAGATAAACATTTCTCTAGCTGCCTTCAGTCTGCTGAGATCCCCAAGAGCTTTCTTGCCAGAGCTGCATGTGAAGTTTACATAGTAGAAGTTCTCCATTATTGAATTATGCTTCCCTGTGTGAACAAAATTAAAGGGAACAAGAGCTTGGCCATCCATGCTATTGTGTGTTTGGTAAAGTTTGATTAATGTTGCTGAGAAAATGGTTATAGGACTGCATGATTGATTCCAGATTCTATTAACTATAAGCAGTTGCACTGGCACTGGCTGGTATATGGGTGCAATTTCACTTATATATTTGCAGCAGCCTCAAGGTAGGATCTCAGCCAAAAAAGTACAAAAAGAGAGGAGGATTAGCTCTGAGGTCTTCATGCTGTTAAACATAGTTTATTTTAAATTCCTTCCAGCCTATTCCGTTTTACCTAATTATGACTAGATGGGTGGGGTACAAATGCAATCAATCAATCAATCAATCAATCAATCAATCAATCAATCAATCAATCAATCAATCAATCAATCAATCAATCAATCTATCTATCTATCTATCTATCTATCTATCTATCTATCTATCTATCTATCTATCTATCTATCTATCTATCTATCTGCTATGTCTATATCAGCCTCCCCCAATTTGGTGCCTTCTAGATATGTTGCACTGCAACTTCTAGATATGTTCAACCAGCCGATTTAGACATTGACCTTGCTGGCTGAAGACCATGAGAACTGAACATCCTTGGATGCAACTTTGGAAATTGTTCATCTCTGTACCTCAAATCTCTGTGGTCTACCGTCACTTCGTTATTAGTTATAGCTATAGGTCCATGACTATAATTCTAAGGATCTATTTTACATGAAAAATATGGATTTAGATGGAATTGTGTGGCCCTATGCTTGTCAGAATATGTCATGTCTCATCACTAGGGATGGAGAAAAAAATTGTTCAGTTTTCATTTTGATACAAGTTTACCAAATCTTCATATCCTGAATCAATGTGCAAGCTGGAACACAGGTGTTCTTTGGTATTCACACTTGACCAGATTTTGCAATGCAGTTTTCCAAAGGAAAAAATATGTATAATGCAGATTATAAGATTAAATGCACACAAAAATGTGCTGATACAAATGTAGCACCACAACCATCAAACTGAAAACTGTTTGTAAAAAGTGAGTGTATTCAGCTACAGTACATACAAAAATGTGGATAGGAAAAGAGGTGTAAAAAAACCATAACAACATTCATGCTGACTTTAAAAAGCATGTAAACAGATACAACATATTAATGATGACAAGGATGAAAAATATACAGAAACGAATATTGACAGATTTACCAATTCTTAATTATTCACCAACAAACTTATCTGGATCCTTTATAAGGCCATCTCAAATTTGCAACCATCTGTGAACTACTGTACTACATCAAAAATAAAGCAATCAATACAGTATATACTTCATGCACAACTGCTATATGCTTAATGCTGGAAATGCTAAACATTCACACATATAATCAATTATTCTTGATAAAGAGAAACAAATACAGGTCTTTTATTTTCCCTTTTAATCTGACTATATAGGAATCCTGATGCATAACTGAAAGTTCTCTAACCAAATTCTTAAAGTGCATTAATTTCTATATGAAGTGCAAACTGTACCCTAACCTCTAGTGCCATAGCATCTGAACTCCCAGTATTATTAACAGTTTTGAGGGAAAACAATCTATCATCCCATTTCCATCAGAATTAAGGTTCTCAGAGAAACAGGAATAGTAAAAGCCTTTCTTTCTACCTACAATCCACTGAGGACCCGCAGCTCTGCACTGGGGGATCAATGAAGTACAAGAATCCCAGATATTTTTCTCTGTGTATTTTGTAGAAAAGAACATGCCATTTGCTCTGAAAGTCTCCAACCTAAATAACCAACCTGAGATGTAGAAGGAACCATTCTCAACTTCTTGTAAAGATTTCTCTCATTTATCCTCTCAGTTTTCTTTGTCCTGGACAAACTGATTCATTTTTTTTTTCAACCTGCCTGTACTCTTCTACCAGTCCAGTTACTTTGTCATTGTTTCAGTTTATTTACTAAGCAATAAAATGCATTCAGTCTTGCTCCGTAAAAGTGAGCTTAGCTCCCTAGAATGGACCCCCATGTCATCAGAAACTCAGATACTACAATCGTTCTTAATGCATCATGATCCAAAGACCCATTCATGTTATCCAGACTTGCTGTTCCAGCAAGGGACTCTGGCTTCTTATCATGTAGAGGAGAGGCATAACTGTCTGGAACAGTGTACAAAACTGCTATAAAAATAAAACCTATCCTGTTCCTTTGTAATCAAATGAAGGGCTGCATGGAAATATTTTGATTTTGTTTGGACCAGTCATCTGTTTGTGATACATGGTCACAATCAAAATGTTACAAGATCTTGGGGGGGGAAAGGTGCAGATTACACCATTAAAGCTTTGGGAACTTAACGACCTATATCATTAGCCAGGTTTAATCACACAAATACATTCATACCTGGTATTACATGGTGCAGAGCATCTTGAAACATGTTATTCTTTTTCAAGTTACATTTTCCTTCATTAAACTTAAAGATTACACTTGTCCTGATGGCAGAGAAGTCTTCAGAAAGAAATAGTAAAGTAGTTATTTTCAAATGCAATGAATCATACACCTTTGCTAAAAATAAGAACTTCAGCAGAGATAACTTTAAAATAGCCATGGGCCTGTATGAGCCTGACTACACAGGCATACAGTATATGCGCACTGATTAGTCCACTGCAGGAACATACTGGTTCACTCCTACAAGTGGCAATCAAACAGTGTCTTTGCTAGAGCAAACCAGCTTGCTCCAGAGTAGTTCTAGCCACACCTTTCTGAGCACCTCTCTGGAGCTTCAGCTTTTTGTGTGTGGGTAGGATTGCTTTGTTTTGGTCCATTTCCAATGTATGTGATCAAAAGCAAGCCTCCCTTCAATTTGCCAATATTGTGAAGTGGCTTAATAAGACACCTACTTCAGGATACTAGCAAATAAATCACTTCCTCAGCTCTGTGAAAAGAAGCTGAAAAAAATTAAGTGTGCATTAGGGCAGTGAATGTTTGCTGCACCATTTTTTTTTAAGAGATGAATAGAAATCTTTCTCCTGGATGCTTTCGTTTGCTTTGCTTTTAAATGTTTGATCAACAGCCTGCTCAATTCAGCTATACATAGGCCTTCAGGATACTAGCAAATAAATCACTTCCTCAGCTCTGTGAAAAGAAGCTGAAAAAAATTAAGTGTGCATTAGGGCAGTGAATGTTTGCTGCACCATTTTTTTTTAAGAGATGAATAGAAATCTTTCTCCTGGATGCTTTCGTTTGCTTTGCTTTTAAATGTTTGATCAACAGCCTGCTCAATTCAGCTATACATAGGCTCTTTACTATTATTTATTTATTTATTTATTTATTTATTTGTTTGTTTGTTTGTTTGTTTGTTTGTTTGTTTGTTTGTTTGTTTGTTTGTTTGTTTGTTTGTTAGATTTATATACTGCCCATCTAGAACGTTTCTACTCTGGGCGGTTTACATACAACATAAAAAATAAACTAAGGTAAAATCCAGATTAATCACAGAGTCCAAGATGAGAAAGGAAGAAAAGAAGAAAAAGAAGAAAGAGAGAGAAAAAAGAAAAGGGGAGATAGGCTAGGTAATGGCTGTAGGAAAGGCCTGCCTGTATAGCCATGTCTTCAAGTTAGTCTTGAAGGCCCTCAGGAAGGGAGCCAGGCAGATCTCTACAACAGGGGTCTCCAATCTGCTGTAGAGATCTGCCTTGTTGTTCCAGAGGCAAGGGGCCACTGCTGAGAAGGCCCGATTTCTAGGTTTTTTTTCCCACTGGGCCTGTCTTGGCATTAGGCCCCTCAGCCACCTGGGCTGACTGGAGTGGGTACAGATAGAACTGGGCAGAAGAAGGCGCTCTGCCAGGTATCAAGGGCCTAAACTATTAAGGGCTTTGTATGTAATGGTTAGCACCTTAAAGTCAATGGAGGAGTGGATAGGTAGCCAGTGTAAGGCGGCCAAGGTGGGGGAAATATGTTGAAATCTTTTCACCCCTGTTAATAGCCTGGCCGCCGTATTCTGGACCATCTGGAGCTTCCGCATCAGTCTCAAAGGAAGCCCCATGTAGAGAGCATTACAGTAGTCTATTCTTAAGACTACAAGTACATGGACCAGTGTGGTGAGCGCCCCCACGTCTAGATAGGGATACAGCTGGGCGATCCGCCAAAGATGTAAATGGGCAGACCGAACCACGGACGCTACCTGCGTCTCTATGGTAAGCACCGGGTCAAGATAGACCCCCAGACTATGAACTAAATTCTTTGTGGTGAGAGTCACTCCCCCAAAAGAGAGGGAGATCCCTAAATTGCTGACATCAGGGCCACCCACCCGCAGGAGTTCTGTCTTGTCCGGGTTCAACCTCAGTCCATTCGACTGCATCCATTGCAGAACGGCCTCCAGGCAGCACCCAAGGACGGAACGGCATCCACAGTAGATGGAAAAAAGGAGATGTAGAGCTGAGTGTCACCAGCATATTGGTGACACGAAGCTCCACATCCCCAGATGATCCCCCCCACACACACACAGCCTCATATAGATCTTAAACAGCATTGGGGAGATGATCAAACCCTGCGGGATCCCACAACTGAGGGACCACAGGGCCAATACATTTTCCCCAAGCTGAACTCTCTGGGGATGACCCTCCAAGAAGGACCAGAGCCAAGCGAGAGCACGGCCACCCATCCCCAACTCAGAGAGCCTCCCCAGGAGAATACCATGGTCGGCGGTATCAAAGGTGGCCGAGATATTAAAGAGGATGAGCAAGGACATTTTATCCATGTCAGCCTCCTTAAGTAGGTCATCCAGCAGGGCGACCAAAGCTGTTTCTGTGCTGTGGTGTGGCCTGAAACCCGACTGAAATGGATCAAGGGTGTCGGTTTTATCCAAGAAGGCCTGAAGCTGATCAGCCGCTACCTTCTCAACTACCTTGCTAAGGAAAGAAACATTGGCTATGGGCCTATAATTGCCAATGTTTTCTGCCGCCAAGCTTGGTTTCTTTCTAATGAGCGTAATGAGTGTCTCCTTAAGGGCAAGAGGAACCTTGTCCTCAAGAAGAGACCCATTTATTATTTCAGAGTCCTATTCAGTTATCACTGGCCTGGCAGCTTTGATTAGCCAGGCCAGACAAGGGTCAAGGGAGGAGGAGGTAGCACAACAGCAATCAAGGGCCTTGTCCACCTCTGCGGATGTCACAGGTTGAAACTGAGTAATTTTCAACGGACAAGGCACTGCGCTTGATGTCTCAGCTCGATCCACTGTTTTCAAATAGGGTGCAAGATCCCGGTGGATGGCCTCCACTTTTGATTTTTAAAGTGCTGTAAATTGGTCACAAGAAATGCTAGATGGAAGCCAATCCTTGTGGCCAATTTCGGATAGGTTGTGTACTATACGGAAAAGTTCCGCCTGCTGATTGGATGCTTCGCTTATCCAGATAGCAAAGTAGGCTTTTCTAGCAGCCTCCACCTTAGCAAGATAGAGGTTAGAAGTTGGCAGCTTTAAAGTTATTTTCCGTCAGGTTCTGCCTCCAGACACTTTCTAGCCTTCTCCTATTCCGCTTCATAGCCCGCATAAAGCTATATAATAAAACAGAAACAAATGCTAAACCAAGGTGTTGGTCAGGCTCTGTGGTGCAGAGGGCATAAAGCTATATAATAAAACAGAAACAAATATTAAACCAAGGTGCCCGCATAAATCTGCTGTGCAGAGGGCATTTAGGAGTGATCGTATCTACAGCCCTGGCAGCGGCAGCATACCAGACATCCACCAGAGCCTTGACAGCAGCGCCAGCCAGGTCAGTCAGAATCCTATGCATGGCATCCTAGAATCTAATAGAATCCAGTAGCCTGCGAGGGCAGACCATGAAAATAGGTCTCTGCTCCCCACGGGGGGGGGGGGGCCCGGGGGATTGCCTTTTTNNNNTTTATCAGGTGGTAGTCTGACCACGACAAATTACTAGACTTTTAAGAGAAAAGCAAATGAAAGCTTTTGGGAGAAAGATTTCCATTTGTTTTTTATGGGTTTTTTTAAAGTTGTGCAGTGAATATTCACTGCTCTAACACACACTAAAACTTTTTTTCATTTTCTCGGCCCTTCCATGGAGCCAAAGAAGTTAATAACATGCCAACATTCTGAAGTGGCTGTAGGTCACTTCATGATATTGGCAAAGGCTGAAGACCAAATAGGGTTGCTTGAGTTCTGAATGCTATTTGAATACAAGGATCAACCTCCTAGCCTAACCCAGCCCATGCAAACAAGCCCTGAGGAACATAGGGCTGCCTTATATCGAGTCAGACAATTTGTCCATCTAACTCAGTATTGCCAATTCAGGCTGACAGCAGCTTTCCAGTCTTAGGTAGGATTCTTTGGAAGCTCTAGTACTTCCTGATCATCTCTCATTCGAGTGTTGATCAGGCCCCTTCTTATTCAACTTCCAGTATCATTTGAAACTGAATAATTGTGTGACTAGACATCCCACTTATCCCAGTCTGGATTGGACTAGATTGTACTAAGGTCCTTTGAGGTGCTGTATATCATCTGGAGCAAGGATCAACAACACTATACCTCAAGCAACCTTGTTTAGCATGACATAAAGTGATCTTCTTTCCCCCTAAAGTGTTGTGTGATGTGTTAGCAAAAATTAACAAGAAGTTGAAAACTTCCTTTTCCTTCTCCTCTTCAGGGGAACAGGAGGGAAGTTTTCCATTTCTCAAGCTCAATAAGTGGCTTAAGCAAAGGGACACCTAATGCATCTGCCTTGGTTCAATCCCAGTAATGACACATGCTGGAACCAAACCAAAGTGAAGTGGTCCTTCCCCCCTCACACACACACACACACCAGTAGCCCCTGACAGATACCCCAAAAGGTGTACGCAGGCATTGATCAGGAATGAGCAACTATGTCACATGGTCACCAGGAAAAGGAGGAAACCAGCACATCTCCAATCCAGACCAAACCTCAGGACAAACATCCATCTAGTTGCACCTTGTGTTCAGAATGACACAGTAATAAACTATTTTGGGTGTGTGAGAGAGATGAACAGATTTTACTCATGTACATCTCATCTGAGGAAAGGAAGACTATAAAATGAAGCAATGCAATAAACCAAGACAAAACTGGCAATTAATTCATGTGCTACACTGAGGTCCTATGAACTTTATTTGGAGCATATGAAGACCTGACAAATTGTACAGTAGCAACTCCTTGATACTTAAGTACCAACTACAAAGACATTATGTTCTATAACATACTTTCACAAAACTGGCACAAAAACTGAGCAACCTCGCAGCAAGTAAATGAACAGATCTCTCCCAAACTTGCTGTCCTGACATGCTGCCAGTCACTGCACTGGGAAGCCTAGATTGTTTTCTAGAACACACCTATGGACTTTCTCCAGGAATCTAGGAGTTCCTGGTGGCTAATCTGGTTTGGCTGCTCCCCAATCAGGATCTTTCTGCATAATAGACTCTTATAAAATCATTTTTAACAGAACAGAAACAAAAGGGTTGCAGTGTTGACTCACATAATTGATTAATAAGCCTTTGATAAATTAATATATTACCTCCAATTTATTGGAAAATTGATAATATTTTAATGCTATTCAAAAGATGATCTCTTTATGAAATCCACACAAAGCACGGCCTTTTTAGAAGAGAATTCCTCCTTTTTCTAACCAAGGGAGAAATGCCTCCTCTAAGGTGGTACCTACTCCCGCATAATGAAACTAAAAAATATAAACAAAGACGGGCTGTTTTCTTCAAAATCACAAATGAAAAGTTTATTTGTTGACCAAGATTTCTGATTAAGAACAGCTTGATTAAGAAATAAAATAATAATAATAATAATAGCAGCCACTATTTAAGAAAATTTGGTGACATAATTATTAGATATTTACCTAATGCAGCAGACTCATTTGTATTTTGTACTTTTTTCTTAAGTGGAAAAGGGCTGCCACATTTTATAGTATAGGAATCTTCCAGGCCTAAGAGACAGATCATAAAGCTATATAATAAAACAGAAACAAATGCTAGAGAACAATTGAAATATACTGTTGGAAACACAACAAAGTTGCAGTCTCTATCCCATGAAATGGTGGTAAAGGGCTTTCCTAGTTTCAGTTATATCTGGACTACAGTCCTGATGGGTATTTACCCATCTATCCTGTCCTGATGATTTTGCCTGGGATGCTTTCAAGCTGGTTTTCAGCTAAGTTTGATAACAGACACTACCTTTGTTACTTGGTATGTACTGCATGGAGGGGGACATGGGTGGCACTGCAGGTTAAACTGCTGAACCACTGGGCTGTCGATCAAAAGGTCAGCAGTTCGAATCCGCACAATGGGGTGAACCCCCGTCGCTTGTCCCAGCTCCTGCCAACCTCACAGTTTGAAAGCATGCACATTCAAGTATATGAATAGGTACCACTTCGGTGGGAAGGTAACGGCATTCTGTCTCTAATCATGCTGGCCTCGAGACTACAGAAACTGTCTATGGACAAATGCTGGCTTTTCAGCTTACAAACAGGCATGAGTCAGACACGACTAGACTTAGTTGTCAAGGGGAATCTTTACCTTTACCTTTTCTGTATGGAGAGCATGTGATCCCACTTCCTCTCCTGAATCAACTGAGATACTCTTCTGGTATCTATCAAATATTCTCACTCATTTTAATAAGCTCCTTAGGAAGTAGTAGAAACCTTATACTGTATTAGCACCTGATAGTAGCATAGGAGTGGATGTGGAAGAGCTAATGAACCCACCCAGGGAAGGCTTATAGACAATGTTGGGTTCTCCATTAAGATACAGGTTCACAATGAAGTGGGGATACCCCCATAATTTGGATGTGCAGATGGAACAGTAACCATGATACATATTACCAATTTCTGCTGGTTGCTAACTATGTTCTTTCCTCAACAAGACAGACTTAGCAAAACTCATTCATATCATCCTCATAACCTGCAGAACCACCAGCCTTGAAATAGCCACAAAGTTATCAGAAGCCAACAAATCGCTTCATTAAATGAGAGGCTGAGCTTTCAACACTTCAGATCTTTTCTCCAATTCAGATTTAAATCATGTCCAGAAACAAACTCCAGCCGTGTCTACGTACCAACCTATTTGGTCTACAAAAGCTTTTTCTTCCCATTTCTCTTCCTTCAAACATTCCCCACCTGTCCCTTTTTTACCTTAATTGATGGCTTTAGAAAAAATAGCAGAGGCAAGCAGGTGGGAGTTTGTTTTGCTTCCTTTTTCCATTCTGTTAGACTAAAATGCTGAGTAACAATGCAGGAGAGAGTATGGGGAACTGTGGGAGATGCAGGGCTCAAAAAGGCTACTGAACCACACTATCCCAGATGGTCTGCACTACTCAGAATGTATGTCATTCTTCAAGACACACACAAGAAGTTCAAGGCCATTCTCAGTGTTTCAATTAGCAATTTTCAAATGAAACTAAAAGCCACCCATTTTCTATTTCACATGGTTGGCAAAGGATGGCTTTTTACCTCCAAATGGAAACTGTCCCAGATTTAAACAACAATCCATGTCCAGAATAACTTTGTTGGTTGACACTTTCCTAATGTGGTAACAAGGAAAAGATTTTTGTCATTGTCACTCCCATGGTAGAATTTCAAACAATGCAGTCTGTTGACTTCCATGGCAGTTGAGTGCCAGCTGCATTCTATGCATCTACCGTCCCGTTTCACCTTATAAACACTTTGGCCAGCATGCTAGTTGTACGTAAGGTCTACGTAACTTGCCACAACTAAAGGTGGCCTGGGCACATCTCACTTACACAGCTGGATACATGACCAGGTATGCAGTTGAGATGTGCCCTGGCATTTTTTCTATTAATTACAATTAGCTCAGCAAACCTTATGTAAAAAAAACTCTAATTTATATGCCGCCCACTCTACCCAATTAGCTCAGCAAACCTTATGTTAAAAAACCCTACAGGATTCTGGCCTCTATTAACACATTGCACTTTCGATAAACTGCAGTCTCTTGGGTTATACATAGTAATGCTGTATTTCCTTTCACTGGTTACTGCCAAAGAATTTTGGCAAGGGAAAGCTAGTATTCATTTGTGGAAGAAATAAGCAATGCTGAATGTATATATAAATACAACTGAATTTGATTTAGTGATACTTATTGTCCAGCAACTTTGTAAGGGTTGCTGTTCTTGTATCCTCCACTAAGATGAATGGCAATATGCAGCATCTGCTTAACTTACCAGAAATTAAGTGGACTTCTGAGGGGCAGATTAAAAAGCACCTATCACTTCCATCTGTTTTACTGCAGTGCAGAGTTACTTTGGGTAAAGTGACATCAGGCAGGGACCTTTCTATAGGACAAAACACAGACACTCACAGAAGGAGAAAAATGGTCTACGAATATAAATTTGAAGCCTCATATGTTACATAATCAGTATCAAACTGAACCCCCATTTTTAATAATATGGAGAAGGAAAGCACAAACAACGTATTAAATTTCTCTTTTTAATGAAACCTTTTGTTTTCATGCAGATGACCACAAAAGGAAAAAAAACAAAAGCCTTGATTAAAAGCACAGGAAAGAAAGCATCAAAGGCCTGAAAGTATCTCCTGTTTTTTTTCTAAATAACCAGCTTCAACAATAACCGTGATAGCCAGCTAAGAAGTAATGCAGCGCTGGAGAGTGAGACATACAATAGCTTTTTGAAGAAATGAACATCATTTGTAAAATGGGTTATTACTGCTTGTGGTAAGGATAGTTGTACTTTCTCTTCTGATAAGCAGATTATGAACATCATGTACTGCTTCAAAAATCTGGTCAGCCAAATGGAAGATGGAAGAAACAGGTGATGAAAAGGAAATTTTGTCTCAAATGATTTTCAGTTCTCTGAAACACTATTGTCTGTCATCAGCCATAATAAGAGGCAATGCTAATAGCATGGACTACTTGTAATGCTGTTTGACTCCCTGGAAATAAAGTCTTCATTCCATTTTGTTTCATTTATTAATACTGCTGACAACCAGAAAAACTCACATTACAATATTTGCAAATATCAACAATATGTTAGTATGATCCTGAATTATGCAGGATAGCTGAACTTCTACAGAGAACCAAATAAAGTGTTTAAAATATTCATAAATTTTGAACCTTACCAACACAGTCCTTTTTGTTCCAGTGTAGTTTGTAGCCAGCATTACAGTGGCACTGATAATCCCCCAGTGTATTTAGGCAGGTATGCTGGCACCCTCCATTGTTGATGCTGCACTCATTAATATCTAAAGAAAAAGAATGGGAAGGAAAATGGGTTTTTAAGAGAAAAATCTTATCACTGTGGCTCTAATTGCCTCAAATGTTTACATGAATAAATATTTAGGCAGGTTCAGAATATATAAAATTATGCAAGGAGGCAATGGCCACAACAACAAAAAGTGGATTTGCAGCTACTTCAGTCACTGCACACAGTGCAAGTGGTGGTGTGGTTTAAAAAAGGTGTCAATCCACACCAAGGCTTCTGTTGCTGACTAGCCAGTGTTGGGAGGCTTTGGAGCAACTGACAGAGCTGGTGCTGAACCTATTTTTACAATCGCACAAGACTGCCGTTGATTTACATCACAAAAAATATTTATGTCTACTTTCTTCTTTTCTGGATGCAAAAACCTACTGAATAATAAACATAGGGCTAGAAACCTCTTCACTTATGCAGTCATGTTAGGATAACCATATAAGCATTTTTCCCTATGACAGGATCTCCTTTATATGAATGGACAAGCACTGATAGCAGAATTGGTGACACTACCAGTCATGACAGCAATTGTGTAAATGGGAGCATGCCAGACAGACAAAATTTTGTGCAATTGCTCTTACACACAAAGCCTGAAGCAGATTTTGGGCATAATCTATTTAACCTTGAAGGTAACTACTGTGTGAATTAAGAAAGGGAACTAATGTATGTTTTTCAGGTAACCATCTTACAAAATCCAGTTAATAACACCCAAATATGGTATGCAACTGTTTGTTCTCCCTTTCCAATAAAAGTAAGGTGGGGAAGCTCCTGAAGGAAAAACCTGATATGTCCAAAGTCAGACTTCTACTTCCTACTGTGCAAAAAGAAGAAAAGAAAACATTGGAAAAATCTGCAGCACCAGGCTTAAAATCTACTTTTCCTCTTGATGTTAAGAGTAAGGAAATAACACCCCAATAAGCAAGTCTTCAGTAATATTATATATACTCACCTCCACAATGTGTAAAGCCATAGAGTGTGTATCCTTGGTTGCAAGTACACTCAAAAGTGCCTGGGTGATTGATGCATATATGGTCACATGTCCTTTCGAACAAGCATTCATCAATGTCTGCAATTTTTAAGGAATACTTATGATTTCACTTCATATTGAAAGGAAATTTATGAACTAGGAAAGCTCTATGAAAAAGAGATTAAGCTTGAATTTAAAAAAATGTTGGCCTTGCTGAAAGCACAAAGTAGCATCGTGGCTGTTGTTGTTCCCTACATTTCTCCTGCAAAAACTGCAAGCCAAAGAGCAGGAAAATGCTGTTTTCAATAAATTGTTAGGCTTTACTCACTGACCACAAACAAATACTGCAATTGGTTAAAAGGCAGTTAAGCTAGCTTAACAGAAAAAGCTTCTTACTTTTCATCTAACACTCTTTATAGATCAATTAATGATTCGAATTCCAGTCTCTGTAACGCTTAGTCTTGTGCCAAGGCTACTCACTGGTGAGAAACAGAAGGGCTTGGGCATGTGAAAGGTAATTGATTGATATATTTTCTAAAAATATAAGTGTTGCCCGTTGAGCCTGTTTAACAATTACTGGTTGAAATCCTGTTGTGCAATTTATGCCTAAGAAAGGGTGATAGCAGGGGAAGATTTTCACCTGCAGAATGGTGGCGATGTCATCAGCAGGGGAAAATTTTCAGTAATTAAAGACTTCTTGCTCTCCCATAGCTTGTCTGACTTGCAAACAATCTGTTTAATTGTGTGGAAGCAATGGATACCTTTAGGCATCCTTCAGTCTCGAGAGACTATGGTAACGTGCTTTGTAAGAAGGACTTGGAACAGTGTCTTGTGTGGCTGAGAAGGCCAATTAAAGAGTGACAATCCTTTCCATACTGAAGACAAATGCAATCTGTCCCCTGTCCAGCTCCCTAATTTGGCTGGGTTCAGGACTGCCTCTTTGCCTCAGCCTGCTGGACAAGGGTCTCTTCAAATTGGGAGAGGCCATGATGCACCGCCTGCCTCCAGGCTAAACGCTCAGATGTCAAGGCTTCCTATTTGTTTCAATCCATTCCTAAGGCCTTCAGATGCCGCTTGCAGATATTCTTCTATTGCAGCTGTGGTCTCTCTCTGGAGCAATTTCCCTGCACTAATTTTCCATACAGGAGATCTTGTGGAATCCGACCATCAGCCATTCTCACGACATGCCCAAGGAAACGTAGACATCGCTGTTTCAGTAATGTATACATGCTAAAAAATTCCAGTTTGTTCTAGGACTACTCTATTTGGAACTTTGTCCTGCCAGGTGATATCAAAAATGTGTTGGAGACAACGCATATGGAACATATTCAGCTTCCTCTCCTGCCGTGCATGAAGGGTCCAGGACTCATGGCAGTACAGGAGTGCGCTCGGGACACAGGCTCTATAGACCTGGATCTTGGTGTATGTCGTCAGCTTCTTACTAAGCCATACTGTCTTTGGGAGTCTCGAGAACATGGTAGCTGCTTTCCCAATGCGTTCATCCAGCTCGGCATCCAGGGAGAGTGTCAGAGATCATTGAGCCAAGGTACACAAAGTCATGAACAACCTCCAATTCTTGCGTGGAGATTGTAATAGAGAGAGGTGAGTCCTGGCCCATGACTTGTGTTTTCTTCAGGCTGATTGTTAATCCAAAGTCTTGGCAGGCCTTGCTAAAGCAATTCATGAGTTGTTGGAGCTCTTCAGCAGTGTGGGCAACAACACCTGCATCATCAGTGAAGAGGAAGTCCCACATGCATTGCACTTGGACTTTGGTCTTCGATCTCAGTTTAGAGAGATTAAAGAGCTTTCCATCTGATCTGTTCCAGAGATAGACACCTTCTGTTGCAGTTCCAAAGCATGCTTCAGCATGACAGCAAAAAAGATCCAAAACAGGGTCGGCGCGACGACACAACCCTATTTCACTCTGCTTCAGATGTCAAAGGGATCTGATGTTGAGCCATCAAAAACTACAGTGCCCTTCATTTCCTCATGAAAGGACTTGATGATGTTAAGGAGTCGAGGTGGACATCCAATCTTGGAAAGTATTTTTAAAAGGCCATCCCTGCTAACCAAATCAAAGGCCTTTGTGAGAGCTATGAAGGCCACAAAGAGTGGCTGTTGTTCCCTACATTTCTCCTGCAAATGTCTAAGGGAGAATACTATGTCAGTGGTGGATCTATTAGCTTGAAATCCACACTGGGATTCTGGATATACTCTGTCCGCAAGCACCTGGAGTCTCTTCAGCACAACACAGGCAAGCAGCTTCCCTACAATGCTGAGAAGAGAAATGCCACTGTAGTTATTGCAGTCCCCCCTGTCTCCTTTGTTCTTATACAATGTGACGATGTTTGCATCCTTCATGTCCTGTGGTACTCCACCTTCCCTCCAGCAGAGACAAAAGATTTCATACAGTTCGGTGGTGATGAAAATAGCACTTCAGCAGGTATGTTATCCTTCCCAGGTGCCTTGCTGGAGGGGAGGGAATCCAAGGCCACTTTAATTTCCGCTAAACTTGGTTTGCTGTCCAACTCTTCCAAGATAGGCAGGCACTTGATGTTATTTATTGCCTCTTCGCTTACTACATTCTCTCTAGAATACAGCTCAGAGTAGTGCTGCACCCAGTGTTCCATCTGCTGTGCTGTGCTGGATGAT